GGGGGGGGGGGGGGCGTACTCATTTGTTGCTTGCCGTAGTCATTTGACCATTGACCACGCGTCCCTTTCGAGACGGAGCACCGTTCCTACACCTACTAGAGACACCACCAACATTTGGGAGCTCTTAACGTTTCTGCCACAAACTCCATAAAAATTTCTTGCACATCTTATCCCCGTCCTTTAGGGCCTCTTGTGCCCACCATCTATCCCCAATTATCGCGATCGTTTTTTCGCTGTTGTCTAATTTACCAAACTTGTCCATGTCACACCCTCTCTGTCTCATTTCCTCCTCTAGATCCTCTCTTTCCTTCCTGTACAACTCACACTCCCCAACTATGTGGGGTCTACTCTCCTCCGATTTGCCACATGGACATGTGTGTCTATCCTCCTCTTCCTCTCTCCTACGGCTGGTATACCTCTTCCTCCGTTCTGGCAAGTCCAGATCGCCTACTCGAAATTGCAATTTCAGCTTTTTCGCATAGTCCATGGGGCCGTCCAAGTACTTCTTCATCCCTATCCCTTCTTTCAACTTCCCGTATGTCTCCAAGTGGTCTTCGCTTCGTACCTTCTTCCGAAGGGTTGTCTCCTCCCTACTCTCTAGCATCTCCTTGACTTTCGTCTTGAACCCCCCGAACCCTTCCGTGTCCAACGTCTCCTCCTCGTCTCCTATCTCCTTCCAAACCTTCTCTACCACCTTGTCCCATCTGATTCCCTTCTTCCCTGGAGTCGCTTTTCCCCAAGCTGCCTCGTCAACCATGGCTGGTAGTCTATCGTCCGACATTCTACTTACCTTCTACTGCCACTTCAACTTCTGCATGTCTCTCTTTGTTTTAAGAGAGTACATTCCCAATTCTGCTCTCAATACAGTGTTGCTCGTTGTACTTGAACATCCTAGTATTTTCTTGGCCGCTGCCATCTGCACCGTTTCCAGCTGCTTGACGGCCTTTTCTTTACCTTCCCATATCTCTCCTGCATACTCTAGCTTAGGTACAATCACCTTCAAGAGAATACACCTCTTAATCCTAGTGTCTAGGTGTGGGTCCGTAAGGATCTCATCCATCTTGCCTATCTGAGCTTTACCCTTCCCAATCAACTTCGCTATGTGTGCGTCCCATGAGCACTCCTTCGAAATCTCTACTCCCAGGTACGTATACTTGTCTACTACCGGTAGTTCTTCCTCCCCCCATTTCCATTTGAATTCTACGGGATTTTTCTTATCTTCGTTACAAACCACTACTGCGCATTTTCCTACGTTCGCCGACAGTCTCCATTTTCGGGTGTATCCTACCGCCGCATCTATTTGTTCTTGCAACCCTTCTGGTGTTTCGGATACCCCCACGAAATCATCTGCAAACATCAGTCCGGACACACTCTTTCCCTCTACTTGAACTCCCTGTCTTACTGCTTCAACCGCCCTTATCAAATCGTTGATGTAAATCTTAAAAAGAGTGGGTGACATCGTACAGCCCTGTGCGTGGAGTATATCCACGTACTTCGAAATTTCCCCATCCAACATCACCGCACTTCTTGTGCATTCTGTCATCTTTTTCAACATCCTCCACATTTTCCCCCGGATGCCGATGTCCCACATCTTTTTCCACAATCCATTGCGCCATACGGTGTCGTAGGCTTTTTGTATATCGAGGAAGAAACAGTATGTCGTACGCCCGGCGTCTTTCCTACCTTGGATGATTTTACTCAACGTATATACATGGTCTACACAACTACGATCTGGTCTAAATCCAGCTTGTCCTTCGCTGATCTTTTGTTTCCCCTCCAACATGTCTCCCATTCTATTGTCTATCATCTTGCCAAACAGTTTCCCCACTGTGCTCAACAGGGTTATCCCTCTATAATTCCCCGGGTCAGCTTTTATCCCCCTTTTTGAACAGGTTCACGACTACTCCTTCTCTCCATCTCTTCGGCGCGTACTCGTGTTTCCATATCCAGTTGAATATCCGGACCAACATGTTAATCATCCCCTCCCCCCCCTGTTTCAAAAGCTCGTTCACAATTCCATCAGCCCCTGCTGCTTTTCTATTCTTGAGTTTCGCTACGCAGTCCTCTACCTCTTCTCGTGTGAACTCTCCCTGCAACCCGTCTACATCACTACGTTCCCTCTGAGATCTTTCAACGTTTTCCTCTGCCCACGAGTTGATTTCCTTCTCAAACTCCGAGTCGAAGTTGTCGTTGGTGGTGGGTGTCCCAAGTTTGCGGTAGTGCTCTACTAGTACTTCCCTCTTTCCTTTAGAACTGCTTACCATCTTACCCTCGGCAGATCTTAGTGTCGTTATTTCCGTGTCTCCCCCTCTTTTGTTGCCCACTATCCCTTGAATTCCTACCCACATTTGCTTCATCCCCCCCTCAAAATCTTCGTTAGTCTTTTGGACTACTTCCTCCCACAACCCTTTCTTCTTCTTCACGACCAACTCCTTCACCCTCTTTCTACTTTCAACATACTCCTTCCATCCTGCATCTGTTTTCCCTGCCGCATATTTTGCGTGTGACTCTCTACGTACTCGAATTGCTTGCTTGATTTCTTCGTCCCCCACT